CTGTCGCTGTCGCGGTCGGCATCGGATTTCGAAAGGGCCCTCCCACTCCGCACACTCCTCCTCCCTCATCCCAAGCCCCACTCGCGCGCTTCTCATCGTCCTCCTCCCCCTCATCTTCCCTCAAACACAGGTGGCCCAAGGCATCGTAGCCTTTTGGGCTCGAACTTGCCATTGGGCGCCCAACCCATTGCCTTCTCGTTGGCGCTTGGGGGGCTCCCACTCAATAACAGCCTTCTCTGGGTTATTGGCGTGGGATGGCGAGAATGGGCGAACTCAGAGATCGGGTTCGATATTTCAACGCTCTGGCGGGTGGGTCTGTCTTACAGCGCAAGGGCTCTCGTTTGGTCGTTGAGTGCGCATCTCCCGAACATCGGGCCCAAGGTACCACGGCAGGCAGGGCTGGTAGCGCGTTCACTTTTGGAGCGTGGCCCGCGGCTTTGGCAGTTTGGGGCCTCGTACATGCTGTTCGTTGTGCTTCATTCGTTTGGGTATGGTCTGGTGGTTGCTCTTCTCCTGTTCTACTTGTGCCAGTTCCGGCTCTATGCATCTGCAGGTGGCCACCTAAAGTATTGTTGTACACTTCGCGTGATCAATGCTCAGGAGTTCCCCTATTTGCCAAGGTTTCCTCTCTGTCACAGCCACATGAGGGATTTCTTCCTGTTCTCCCTGGGGCGTCCAGGCCGGGGACACATCTCATAATTTTCAGCGCAGGCATCTCCCATATCCGCCAGGGGAGAGAAGTTTGTTTGTTTCTGGTGGTGAGTTGCACTTGTTCGCTGGTCACAGCAGGCGCGCAACGCAAGTGCTTGGTCAAATGGTCTGCAATATTTTCAGCACCGTGCATACATAGCGCCATGTTGTACCACACGTTTGTGAGATCAGCGCACGCTGGTGGTCTGGGAGGTGCATTGTGCCCTTGTGCCAAATTGGCACCCTTTTGCCACGGCAGAAGCATCGAGTTGTTCTGGCTCTCAAGGGGGACGTAGTTCCTCCTTTCATCCTGCCAGCTGCCCACGTCACATACAATGAACTCTACGCCGTGGTGGTCATCTTCCCGTGCGGAACAGGTCCGAGGGACATGAGATGCTTTGTGGAATCCTAAAATGAGGCCTTCTCGTAGGTTCGGTTATTTCAACGGCATGCAGCGCTGCGATTTGTCACGTTTCGTCGTTTGGTTGCTCGTGTGTATTGCAACCAAGTGGCTTTTTGAGCTCAACGCCCGCACAGCCTTCGTGAAAAAAGACACAGCAGCGGCGGTTGGGAAACCACTGCTGGCAGTGAGGGAGACCTCACTGACCGAAAGAGTACCTCCAGCAGCCCCATGGGCTAGGAGGCACTGGCCACACGACGGGCGACCGCTGCGGTCTCCACAAGTATGGCTTGCAGTCTTCGTGAAGGTGTTCCTCCAGTGCGGGCGCCTCGTGCTCCTTGCCCTCCGGCGGGTCTTCAAGGTCAGGTGGCGCTGCATTATTGCCATGGCGCAGTATCATTATCAGTGTACTCATCGTCTTCCTCCTCCTTATCATCACCATCACTACCAGCAGCACCATCACCACCATCATCTTAATTGTCATTATTGTGTTTCTTTTCATTCCTATATTCCTCCGTGTTATCATCATCAGCATTATTAACAGTAGCATTAACCTGAACATCATTACTATTGTCATCATGGTTATTTATCGTAGCAGCCGCATCATCATCAGTAATACCATTATTATTAGTAGCATCATTCTCATTATTATTATCACCACTCTGATTCCCACCACTATCATCATCGTCAGCATCATCATCATCAGCATCAGCGTCATCATCATCAGCAGCATCATCAGCATCATCGACATCATGATCATCATCACCATCGCCATCGCCATCACCAGCACCAGCATCAGCACCATCATGATCATCGTCGTCGTCCATCCTCGTCATCCTAGAGCCTCCCGCATCCTTCCGCCATCCTCTCTCCTCCTCCTCCTCCTCCTCCTCCTCCTCCTCCTCCTCCTCCTCCTCCTCCTGCTCCTCCTCCTCCTTCCTCGGTCCCCTTTCTACCTCCTGATCATCTCGCTCCTCCTCGTCGTCCCCCCTTTCTCCTCATCGCTCCCCCACTCCCGACGCCACGGCGCCATCCTGCAGGTCGAAGCCCGGCTTCTTGCTGAACTTCAGCGGGTCCCAGCCGAGGTCGCCCGGCTCGCGGTCCATCTGGCCGATCCACGAGTCCTGAGGAGAGGGAGGAGGAGGAGGAGGACCAGTGTAAACCCAAGAGCCATCAACGGTGTTGGAATGAACGCTCCCTCCAAGCTCCCTCTTTATAGGCCCCTACAAGGTTACATTTCAATTGGGGGAACTGCCTTGTTGGAAGATAACCGTTTGAAGTCCCTGAAGCAAGCCAAACCATTATTCTCGGGACTCCAAAGCCACAGATGAACCTGAATGTTGCGTCTTGACGATCCTGAATCGTGCCAGAACGCCATTCCTGGGACTTCGACACCACGAACCAACGTAACTGCTGCACCCAGTATCCAACACACAACTTCTGGTACGTTGACCATGGGAACCCGTGAAACTCTTGCATGTGTTGAAAAAGAATGTGCGCGGCGCTGAGGCGAGAGCCACACTTTGAAATGGAACCGTCCTCAATCCGCCAAATTCTTGCAAGTGTGTGAAAAAATGTGCGCGGGGCTAGGGCGCGAGCCACATTTTGAAAAGAACCCGCCCTGAATTTGAAAAACTGTTGCCAACGTGTAAGCTTCAGGGTCATAAATGGTGAGGAAACCTCAGGGGCAACGCCTGGCCCGCCCTACAGACGACAAGTCTGGTGTGCGAGGGGGAGGAGTTATCTACAGGGAGACGGGCTGGAGGAGGAGGAGGAGGAGGACGACGACGACGACGAGGAGGGAGAAGGAGGAGGGGAGGACGACGAGGAGGGACGATGGGGGAGCTCTTTGTTGACTCGACCGCGGGCGACGGCCTCACCACTGTGCCACCCCTAGGAGCGGCCATAGTAGTGGTGGTGGGCGTAGGGACAGGGTCGGACGAGGGGAGGGGTACAAAAGGGCGGATGGGGGTTTTCCGGGCGCCTCCCCGCAAAAGATGCGCCAATGTATCGCGGAAAACGCCTGGCGGCGGGGCCGAAGAGAAGGGCCGAGCTGCATGCAGCAGACTTAGTCCCCCACCCCCCTCTCCCTATCGACAGCGACGACGACAAAGACGACAACAAAGCCGACGACAAAGCCGACCGAGAGCGACGGCGAAGACGACGAGGCGCGCGGGACAGCATAGCCAGCGGGCCTGCAGGGCGGGCTGGGCACTAGAGCGGGCAGGTCGGCGGGGTGAGCGGGACATGCAAGCGAGCGGCCGGGGGGAGGCTGGACCAGGCGGGACATTGAAGCGGGTCGGGCGGGTTCGTCGTCGCCGTCGTCTTCATTGTCGCCGTTGCCGAAAACGTGCTCGTCGTCATCGTAATCATAAGCAGTAGCATTATCAACAAAACCATCATCATCACCATCATCACCATCATCATCATCATCATCATCACCATCATCATCATCAGCATCATCATCGTCGTCGTGATGGTCGTCGTGGTCGTGGTCGTCGTCGTCGTCGTCACCAGCTGTCGCCGTGTTCGCTCTCCCTTGCAACTCACACTCGCGCGCGTGCTCCCCCACGATCGCGGCTACGTTCCACGCGCACTCATTCGAGCCGCTCATCGGCCGTCTCCTGACCACGACCCCGACACGACAGTTGGTCTGCCGTGGACAAGAATGGTGCGCACCCTTGCTCAGGTCTCCACAACGCCCCAACGCGGCTCCAAGAGGACCGCCAAGAGGTAAGCATCGTCTCAATCGCCTAGGAAAGCGTGCATGTACAGCCTCCCTGGTTAGGCTGGTTGTGTCCAAAAGCGTCTACAGTGGCCTCCGAGGCTTCTAAGATCGCCCCAGGACGGTCCACGAGGCCGCCAAGAGATCCACCCAAGAGCCCAGTTGGGCCCGAGAATGGGCCACGGGGCTCCGAAGACGGTCAAGAACCGCAAGCGAAGTACGTACCCCGAGACGAAAAATAGGCTCAGAAACCGCCGAGAGACGTCGCAACAACGCATCAAGGCTCCCTATTCGTCGCTTGTTGCTAACCACGCAGCTTGGCCCCCAAAGGATCGGCGGTACGGCGTAAGCCCGTGAATCATCTTCACCATTATCGTCGTCGTGAGCGTCGTCGTCGTCGCAATCGTCATCGTGATTACCTTCTTCGTCATCACCACATCATCATCATCATCATCATAGCATCGCCATCACCATCAACATCAACATCATCATCATCAGCATCATCATCATCATCATCATCATCATCATCATCATCATCATCATCATCATCATCATCATCATCAGCATCATCATCATCAGCATCCTCATCATCAGCATCCTCATCCTCATCATCATCATCATCATCATCATCATCCTCATCATCATCATCATCATCGTCATCATCATCATCATCATCATCATTATCATCATCGTCAGCATCATCGTCAGCATCAGCATCGTCATCATCAGCGCAATGATCATCATCCGCACCCTCATCGTCATCACCAGCAGCATCATCACCACCACCATCGTTATCAGCACCACCACCATCATCACCACTAGTAGCATGATGATCATCATGAGCATGATAATGAACACCATCATCATCAGCATCGGCATAAGCATCATCGTCACCATCACCATCACCATCATCATCATCATCATCATCATCATCATCATCATCATAATCATCATCATCATCATCATCGTCATCATCAGCATCGTCATCATCATCATCAGCATCATCAACATCATCGGCATCATCAGCAGCATCATCGGCGTCGTCATTTATCGTCGTCATCATCGTCAGCAAAATGGTCAACCTAGGAATCCTCATCATCGTCATCGTCAGCACCAGCATCGAGCATCGTCATCACCATCATTCTCATCACACAACACCATCATCCGCATCTTCATTATCATCATCTCCATCAGCCACCACCATCATCATCACAGTCGTCGTCGTCAGCATCGTCATCACCATGGAAAACAGTGCCACCACCATCACCTGCATCATCCTCATACTCAGCATCATCACCATCAACACCACCATCATATTCAGAAGCCTGATTACCATGTGTTTTCTTGATCATGATCGAACTCCCCAACGAACGATGGTGTCCAATAAATGCGCTAAACGAAGCCAGAGCAACGAGATGACCAACCTGCGGGGAGAGTGGGCAGCGTGGTTGTCAACATCGGCGGTGCACCCGCTGCTTAAGAATCCAGACCAGCGCTCCGAGTCATCCTCATAACCATCATCAGCAGCAGCATCTGCATCATCATCCCCATCCGAATCGTCATCATCAGCATCATCAGCATTCGTCCTCCCCATGACCAGCACAGAGCGTGCGAGGGCTTCCTCGGGGAAGTACTTGCCCTCCATGAGCGCGATGAAGACGGAGATCTGCACCACGCCGAGGCGGCCGACGGGGTCGGCGTAGCAGGCGTCCAGGGCCTTCCAGTAGTTCGGCTCCTGGACGCAGTGCAGCAGGACTGTCGGACGACAAGGGAAGAACCCCGTCAGGCCTAAGAAACGACGCGAGCGAATGCCGCGGCAGCCAGTTGGATCCGTCTCAGCTTCCAGAGGCCTGTAAAGCTGGCCCCAGGGGAAGGGGTCGACATCCCCGTCTGTGCACGTCGCGCAAAAAGGGCCCCAGGAGTGCCACGGGTAATGCCAAGGGCGGGAGGATCATCGCCAGGGGGTGGTCGGCCCTCATGAGGGTCGGGGCTCGAGGGTCAAGGAAATGAAGACGCTGTTGTACGACTGCTGGGCATGTTTGGGAAGGTTCTGGGGGCGGAGCTGAGGGGCAGTCCGCACGCGCGCTCAGAAGGCTGGGTAACACACACACGCTCGCACACACACACACACACACACACACACACACACACACACACGCACACGTCCTTGTTGCTGACCTTCCTGGCAACCACTTAGCTCTCAGCAGATGCCTGTGGCCTGACTGGCATTGACTAGCCGCCTGGCCTTGAGCAGGAAAGCATGTTCGACCACTGCTCTTACCACGACACCGCCACACCCCACGGCGCCACAACACCTCACGCCCCCCGCCCGCCGAAGCAGCAGCAGAACGAGCACGGATACTTGATCACGCCGTCCACCCTAGCTCGCGACCTGGAGGATTCGGACACGGCTTCGAACGCACGCACGACACACACGACACGGACACGGACACGTATTACGAATTCCCGGTAGGAGCGGCTTCGCTTGCAGACATCCAACGATATGATAGGCTCAGTCCGCGCACCAGTTATCTCGACCACTGCCTCAGAGGGTATTTTCGTCCAGGATCCGCTTTGAATATGATCTCGGCTCCTGTGGCTCACCGGGGATCTGGAAGAACGACTGGGTCACCATGCCGACAAACGCCAGCATGCACACGCGGCCGTGCTTGAGCTCGGCCTCGCGCAGCCACTGCACATGTGGCCACGTCATGACCATGTTGAAGTCGAAGTTCCTGTCGTACAGCTTGGCGAAGCCCATGGGGTCCCAGATCTCGCCGTCGTTGATCTCTGGGCCAGCGCCCACCATGGTCTTCAGAGCCTTCTCGCTGCCGGGCACCGCCGTGGCACCGCCGTTCTTCACAGAATAGACACAAAGTGGCACAAACGTTTGCTTTCGAAGGCCTGCGCAGATCTCTTGGGTCGGAGCTGATGCCCATGCCTGTTGGCAGTTCCAGAACAGCGCGGTGGCAGACCGTGAGGTGACCTCGGCATCCCCAAAGACCTCACCTCGGGCGGGTGGTAATGGGGGGTGACCCGAAGGGGGGGTAAAGGAAAAGGCCCTAAAGGGGCCCTTCAGGGCCCCTTTAGAGAACCAACTGGCTCCAAAAGCAGCCCTCAGAGATCCCTTTTAAGGCCCTTCTCTTCATCCCCCCATTTGGGCCACCCCCCATTACCACCCGCCCGATCACCGCACAGTCCGTCACAATTTTGAACGCCCGAAATGGGTACGGAAAGAATGGATACGATGCCCAACAGCAGTTCCTGTTCATTTTGAACAGGACTCGCTGTCCGCGCCGCCGCGGCCTGTGTCCATTCGAGACAGAAGGCCGCCTGCCCGGCAGCGGCCGCTGTTGGTTTGGGACAACACTTGTTGTTGGGCATCGTACCTATTCTTTCCGTACCCACAGCAATTCGGTGATTGGTTTCGAGCGTCCCAAACAATTTGCTGTTCTGGAGCCCAGGAGGCCCTCGGGAGCGGCCAAGAGGGAGGTGTCCAAGAGGGGGGGGTGCACATCATGACCGGCGGCACGTGCGCGGCCCAGCGGGGGGGCCAGGGACGTCATAAAACAAGAGGAGGCGCCACGAAATCTGGGGAGATCTCATGGCCCACGCCATGATATCCACCCCCCCTAGTCATCACCCCCCTCTTTTCCGCCCCCGAGGCCCTGGGGTCGCCCGAGCTGGGTAGTCGAAGCCAATCTGGCGCCAATCTGGCAGGCCCCATCTGGCAAACGGGGGCCATCTGGCGAGGGAGCCAACGCGAATCCAGTCTGGCGAAGAACCCAAATCATCCAGCTTGGCCGGGCCAGATGGGCCCCTTGGGGCCCCATCCAATCTGACAGTCTGGCCTTCGACTACCCAGCCGAGGCGCCCCGGGCGAGGGGCCCCGAGAAGGCCCCCTATAGAGCGGTGCCGCCGCACCGAGGCCTCACGGACCTGCCGCGCGGCGCGGTCACCGCACCGCTCGGGGGCCCCAGGCCCCGGCGCGCGGAGCGCACCCAGGGCAGGGGCGGCGCCGAGGGTAAAGTCGGGCCTGTCCCCCTAGAGGGGGATTGTCGACGACAAATAGAACACACCCAAAAAGTAGTCCAAAGATAGTCCAAAGATAGTCTGGGGACTACTTCTTGAGTACTGTTTGACCTTTTTGGGGCATGTTTGGGGTATGTTCTACTTCTCGTCGAAAATCCCCCTGTAAGGGGGGCACGCCCGACTTAAGCCGAAGGCGCCGCCGGGGGAGTCCAGCACAAATCCAAGAGACCTCCACGGACCTTCGGAAGTCCACGGAGTCGAGCCAGGAGGGACGCTGCGCAAGCAACCCGGATCACAAGGACGCACGGTGAGGATGCAGGGGCCTGGAAGGCCATCTCGAAGCGTTTCGAGCGGGGCGCGGCCCACGAAAGTGGCCAAGGATGGATCGAGCAGGGAAAGATGCAAGGGTGTCCTTGAGAAGGCTGCCCACCTCTACCAATGCGGGTCGACTGGAAGCCGAGTCAGAAGCGAAGCCCCTCCTGCGGCCCAGTGGACCCGGGTGCACGAGGAGCGCAAGAGCAACAGCCATGGGAAGGCCCAAGGATCAGCGAGCCCACTCCTCGCCATCGCTCGGACGTCCATTCCCTGTGTTTGTTTCGGTTTCGCGCGTGTTTTTTTCGTCAAATGATCAAGGATGCTCCTCGAGGGTCCTCGCCGAAGGAAAAATGCACACGTCCGAGCGATGCCAAGACTCCGGACCCGAACCGCTCCCTCTGCCGGCGCCTTGACTGCACCTCTTGGTGCCGTACTTTCTCCCCCTGGTCCTTGTTGATGAAATTGACGCTGTTCTCGTAGACCGGGTAATCGCGGATGTAATCACTGTTCAGATCGGTGATCGCCCTCCTGCGGAGGCCTCCCAAGTGGGGTCCGAGCAAGTGGGTCGGGGCATCGCACGGCACCGTCGATGCATTGCCGGTGCATCTGCGATGCGTCGGCGACGCATGGGCGATGCGTCGGCGACACTGGCGTGAAGAAGATCGGGCTCCACATCAAGCCGCATCCCCGACCCAGACATCCGATGTCTTGATGTTTTCAGTACGGGGTCTCCAGAAATCCCCATCCCTTCCCCATGGCAGATCCTTCATGTCGAGCCAGTTTTGGACGGTCCCGGGGCCTGGCGAGGGCCCCCGAGGTCGAAAACAGCCAAGAACTTCCCGTCGACATGTTTTCACGACGCGACCATGTCTGGGCCCGCATGAGAGATACGCGCCGATCCTCCGACCCCATCTGCTCCGGCCCCTGCGGCCCGTTCCGAAAACTCTGCCCCAAAAAACCTTGACATCTCTGGGGGGGCGCATCTTTATTACTTTTTGTTACTTCCACACACACACACACACACACACACACACACACACACGCGCACATGCGCACTACCCCCAATGATCCTTCGGCGCAGGAGGTCTCGTGAGAGGGGGAAATGTACTACTTCCGCCAGCGTCCGCCAGGTTCTGCGCGAAGCCGCCCTCGTCTTGCCGCCGCCGTCCGCCGAGGAAGAGGCGGCAACTTCCCCACTCCTCGACAGCGGGCCCCTGTCTGGAGCGCGTCATGTGCGGGGCCTGGGACTCCTGCTCGGTGCGGAAAGAGAAGGGTACGATGCCCAACAACAAGCGTGGTCCCAAACCCGACGGCGTTCGTTGTCGGGCAGGCGGCCTTATGTCTCGGATGGACGACGTCCGCGGCGACGCCGTCAGCGAACTCCGTTCACAGTGGACAGGAACTACCGTTCAATCGGGCGTCCCCCTACAGGGGGACTTTGAACGAAAAATCAAACATACTCAAAAAATACACCCAAATAATATTCAAAAATAGTCGACAAACCGTCCCCAGACTACTTTTTTGATTATTTTTGAATATCCCCCCTGCAGAGGAACACGCCCGACTTAAAACCACCGTCGGTCTTCGTACCCACTCTTTCCGTACATAGCAGTTATTAATACATATGACATGTTAAAATATCGGATGTTTAATGCCTGATCAATTTAAGAATACTCCAGATTTCGTAATAAAAGGGAGGGGGTCTGGACCCTCCAAGACAAGCCATTTCAGACCTCCCCCGTGGGAGAACCCTCCAAAACATCGTCCCCAGACCCCCCAGGCCCTCCAAGATAGCCTGGAAGAGACCCCCCCCCCCGAAATGGGACCCCCCTCCCTTTATGACGAAACCTGGAGTAGATTCACGCATGAACTCATCGCTGTTTCTGATACTGCATCCCTGCATGTTTCATACATGATCCGCACGCGGAGCACGCATCACAAACGGCACCGCACGCGTCCCGCTCGCACCGATCCTGGCCGTCGCGCGGCGGCGGGCGCCCGACAGCACGGCGCCGGCCGCGGCCGCGAGAGCGCAGGCGCCCGTGGCGCCCAGGCCGGGCGCGGAGCCGCCCTGCCCGCCGGGCTGCTCGGGCGCGGGCGGGCCGCGCAGCGAGGGGCCGGCGCACCGCCGGAGGACAGCCACAGCCACCGAAGGGAAGGAGCGGGCAGAGGGAGAGGCGGGCCGGGCGAAAAAGGGAGGGGGGAGCAGAGGGGGGGGGGGTTGAGAATCGGCTCACGTCGCTGACTCTCCCGGCGCCTCCCAGCGCCGGGGGCGGCTCTGTATCGAGGAATGGGCCCCTCGGTGAGGCCGAAACCAGCTGCATGCACCGGCGTGTGGAGGGCGCGTCGTCGTCGTCGTCGTCGTATTCGTCGTCGTCGTCGTATTCGTCGTCGTCGTCGTCGTCGTCGTCGTCGTCGTCGTCGTCGTCGTCGTCGTCGTCGTCGTCGTCGTCGTGGTCGTCGTCGTCGTCGTACTCGTACTCGTACTCGTACTCGTGGTCGTCGTCGTACTCGTGGTCGTCGTCGTCGTCGTCGTCGTCGTCGTCGTCGCACTCGTACTCGTACTCGTACTCGTGGTCGTCGTCGTACTCGTGGTCGTGGTCGTCGTCGTCGTCGTCATCGTCGTCGTCGTCGTCGTCGTCGTCGTCGTCGTCTCCGCTCCACGTCTTTTCCCTGAGTCCTTCTCCTCCAACGTTCCAGCCGAAACGACAATTACGGACGTTAAGATTACATCGAAGGGAAGCCCCTTACCTTAGGAGGGTCCCGGGGCTGGGGTCCCGGGGGGGGTCCGGGGGGGGGTGTCGGGCGGGGGGTCCTGGGGGGGGTCCCAGTTCAGAAAACCACCCCTCGGGGGAATCCTGGGGCGTTGTCGTCGTCGTCGTCGTCGCTCAAGGTCGGCGGCACCGGCCGTAAGGCCTGTCCAATGACCTGTTCCGCGATCGGGGGCCCGGCTGCCCGCTGCCGGGACTCTTCTGTTTGGCGCCGAGCGAGGGGGGGAATTGAGAAGGAGGAGGCCTTCTCAGAAGGCTCGGCGCGCCTTCTGAGAGGGCCTGCTCCTTCTGACTTCCCCCTCTCGCTCGCCGCCGATCTGTGGCATCTGGCGAAAGGATTCAGCAGGGGAGACAGCAATCGGAGGTCCGCGCGAATTTCTTCCGTCTGGGCTGCCGCCCCCCCCCTCGGCGACGCCCCTGGCGCGCTGCCCCGCCCGCCAGGCAGGGGCGGGTCGATCGCCAGCCCAAGAGATCTGCGCGGACTCCCGAGGGAGTACGAATCTACCAGTATGTGCTTCGAGCATCCACCGCTTGGGAGTCTTGCTTGGGCTCTCGAGGACCCCATCGACCCTCGACGAGTGGCGACTGTGGACATCTGCCCGCGCCCTCGAGGGCGGGGGGATACCTGTCCACATCCGCCGCCTCCCCGGGGGGGCCCAGAGGCAGGGCCCTAGCAGCCGCGGACGTCAGAGGAAGAAAAAGCGGAACACATATGACCTTTCGGAGGTCCGCGCAGATCTCTCGAGCCTGCGCTGAACCCAACTCCTTGGCGCGCGAAGCGCGCCAGGGGCGGAAAGCTGGAGGCGCCGCCACGGGGGTCCAGCACGGACCCGAGAAATCCGCGCGGAGCTCCCAAAGTCTGTGGTCGTGCAGTTCTGTCCTCGTGGGGCCCTGGCTTGGCTCTCTCGGGGCCCTCGTGGTTGGGGGCCGCGAGAGGGGCCTCTGGGGGTCGTCTTGGAGGCCGCTGACCCAAGAAGCGGGTTCTCAGACGTCAGCCCCCCTCTGGGAGGCCGGCAGCATGCCTCGTGGGACCCTCCTGGGGCGCTCTCGGGCGCCCTGGCGGTCGCGGTGGGCCCCTCCTGGAGCCGCCTCGGGGCCTGGGAGTAGGGAGCCCACAAAGGACGTACGCGCCCAGCAATGCACATGAACACGGCCCCTCGATCCGCGAGACTGGCCGCGTTATACGAACACGTGCGCAATGCGTACACTCGAAACCAGCGTGGATTCATGTACGTGTACGTCCTTGTTTTGCTCCTGAGGGAGGGGCCCCATCGAAACGAAGGGGCGAGCAGTGGAGGCCCTCGCGGCGGTGCGGCTGGGGCCGGCCGCCGGCGCCACGGGCGCGGCGAAGGCCAGCGAGAGCGCCATGGCCCGGGAGCTCCGGCGGGGAGGGGGCGGAGGCCGGCGGAGCCGCACGGGGGCAGCTCGAGAGCGGGGCGCCTGCGGAGGCGGCCGCGCGCGGCGCGGCGGCGCGGCGCTCCCGGGGCGGCGCGGCCGCCGCCCCCTGCCGGGGCAGGCCGCCGCGCGGGCGGCCCTCGCGCCCCGCGGGGGGCGCAGGAGCGGTCCGCACCGAGTGGGCGGGTGGCGCGTCCGGATGGGCTGGAGGGGGTGCTCCCGGGGAGACGTTAGGGGTCATGGAGCGGGGCGGCGTCCTGCACTGCTGAAGCGCCCTGGGCTCGAGTAAATTGCTCTGACCCGCGTCCCCTTCCTCCTCCTCCACCTCCTCCTCCTCTTCCTCTTCCTCGTCCTCGTCATCCTAATCCATTATCTTTCCTGGTGAATACCTCCTCCCTGTCGCATCCCGAGGCCAGTCGGAAGAGCGGGCCAGGCGTTTCGCCAGAGACTTCCTAACCCACTACTGAGCATGAAGCTTATAACTTGGCAGCCGTTTGACAGATGAAGCCGAGTCGCTTCCAAAATCTGGCTCTCGCCTTAGCGCTGCGCACATTCGCTTTAAACATGTGCAAGAGCTTCACGGATTAAGGGCGGGTTTCAAACTGTGGCTCTCGCCCAAGCGCCGTGCACATTCGTTGTAAGCATGTGCAAGAGCTTCACGGATTGAGGTCAAGTGATTTTCAAAGTGTGGCTCTCGCCAAAGCGCGCTGCGCACATTCGTTTTCAACAGTTGCAAGAGTTTCACGGATTGGGGAGAAGGGGTTTTCAAAGTGTGGTTCTCGCCTGAGCGCGCCGCGCCCATTCGTTTTAAACAGTTGCAAGAGTTTCACGGATTGGGGACAAGTGGCTTTCAAAGTGTGGTTCTCGCCTTAGCGCCGCGCACATTCGTATGGAAATATTGGACGACCTTCACGAATTAAGGGCGGTTCCTTTTGAAAACGTGGCTCTAGACTAGGGCCGCGCGCATTCGCTTCACGGACTTGCAAGAGCTTCATCTGTTCTCATGGCTAACGTACCAGAAACGGCATGTTGGAACGATTCAGGATTGTCAGGGCGCACCAGTCACGTTGATTTGCGGCGTTGATGAGCCAGGAAAGACTGTCTCGTACGACTCAGCATCGTCAAGGCGCAACAGTCAGATAAAATCGTGGCGTTGAAGTCCTGAGAACGGTTTTTGGGCACACTTCAGGATTTTCACACGGTTGTTCCCCAACGGGGCACTTCCCTCAGTGGAAATGAGCCCCTGTAGAGGCCTATGAAGAGGGAGGTTGATGAGAGGGTGTACTCGAAGATTGTTGATGAGTCTTGGGTTTACACTGGTCCTCCTCCTCCTCCTTCTCCTCCTCCTGCTCCTCCCCCTCCTCCCCCTTTCTCTTTCTCTCCCAAGTGTTCCCCAAAAGGGGTTCCACAACTGCTGGGGGAACACCTAGTCCAAGCCAAGAGCTTGGCCAGGCTTCGGCTCAAAGCTTGGCCGCGCGGGCGCTTCCTACAGGCAGGAGGCCGCGGCGATTTGAAGCAGGCGTCTTCTATAGAGGAGGCATGGTGCCCTGTCTCTGCTCCAACCTCGAGGTGCTCTTGAAAAACTTCTGGGACAGTCGTTGGCATGCCTTCGTGCACACCTCGGCTCCCTCACGGCATTCCCCAGCGGCCTCCCCGCCCCCCTTCAGGGTCGATAATCGGCCGTAAGGCCTCTCCAACATCGCAAGCCTGGTAAAAGGCAGGATCCGTCAGCATCGAATCGGGAGCCAAACGGAGTCGGAGTGTGCGTCGGATCGGGCGGCATCGGCCCGGAGTTTTTATGCTCATGCAGTTGGCTCTGCCGTGACTCGAGGGAGTGGGTCCTGAATGCCTGGGTCGGGGATCTTCTGACCCGGGTCAATCGAGACCCGGGTCAGCAGGAAACCAAAAAACTGCAATGCCAAAAAAAAACTGCAACGCAGGTCTTCGCAAACCCGGGTCAGCCAATATGTGCGGCCGCCTCGCGGCCACGAACGGCTCGCTAACCCGGGTCAGCCAGAGGGGGTCTTCGCAGGATCCTGCAGGATCCGGTGCCGTGGCTGACCCCCGTCTGCACTGACCCCCGTCTCGAGGCTCCCGACTGGGGCCTGGGGCTGTCTTCCCCGGACCAAGCTCGTCGATCCCGAGCCGCTTGCTGACGGCCCCCGGAGGCCGAGGGCGTGCGCCAGCAGCCCGCAGCAGCAGCTGGGGCAGCGCCCCGGGGCGCTTCCCCATCCAGAGGGCCTGGTGCTGCTCCACGCTGCGGCCACTCAGGAGCGAGAGGCCTCCCCCTGCACCCTCCCCCCGGGGCGGGGATTCCTGCATGACCTCCTCCTCCTCCTCCCTCCTCCCTCCTCCCTCCTCCTCCTCCTCCTCCTCCTCCTCCTCCTCCTCCTCCTCCTCCTCCTCCTCCTCCTCCTCCTCATCTCCTCCTCCTCCTCCTCCTCCTCCTCCTCCTCCTCCTTCCTCCTCCTCCTCCTCCTCCTCCCTCCTCCTCGACCCTTGGACGGCGCCAGCCCCTGCACGGTGCCGGCTCGGTGCACTGCCGCGTGTGCCAGCAAACCCGAGAGCGTGCAGCGGGACTGGTCGAGCTGGCCGAACGTGCATGGCTGGCGTCGTCCAACGTCTTGGCGCTCCTCCCATGAGGTCCGACGCTCGGGATTTGACTGTGGACTAGCCCCTTCGCGGGAAAACGATCGCGACCGGAGAGTCACAAAGACCACACCTCTCTGCGGCATCTCTCGAGCGGGTTCCGTCTGTGAGGACCCTGGGGTAGGCGATCGTCGTTTCATGATTTACCCATGCCATGCTCACGCACCAATCCCACCATCGGGCCTGCCTGGGGCATGGATAGGAATATTGCCCCAGGCATGGACAAGAATCTGATGCGCGCCATGCATGCTCCTCCTGGCGCCCAGAGCAAGGAGCAGCAGCACGGGCATGGATCGAACGTGC